TCATTTACGCAAATAAATTGAACCTATAATAAGATTTTTAAAAACAATTAAGACCGACTTCAATTAACATTTAAATTTGAATAAAATTTACATAGGACCTCTCCAGAAGTCGATTTTTCATCAAGTTGTCTTTTAAAACATCAAAAATCAATAGGTGTGATATTGGGAGGTATATTATCGGTGCAGCACTCATGGGTCGGCTCGACGAAAAAGAACCACTATCGCACAGAATACCAGCATGAAGCAGCAACGGTATAATGCAGCCGTGTTTCGTATGGTGAGTGTAGAGAAGCAAAGAAAATTTTACTGGCAAGAAGGCATTCCATCTTAGTCCTCAGGGATGAACACGCATTTTCTTTTAATTTTAAGTGTCTTCATACCACAGCATCCACTTACTATCAGATACACTGTATGCTCGTTTGTCATTCGTGCTAAAGTCATAATACGTTGTGGATCTACCAGAAGCTAATCCCATTTTAGCACCTCACGTCCTTATTCCGGGTACCATAAAGAACGTTGATGAAATATACATTGTAATTTATACGTGGTAGGGCCATGTTGCAGCTATATTAGAAGTATAGTTGTGGCACGAATAGGTCGGCTCGACCGGGGAAGGACCACGCTCTCACAGAATACCAGCGTAAAATTGCAGCTTGATACTGGTGTGTTTAGTATGGTGAGTCTAGAGAACCGGAGACCCATTTTGCTGGAAAAAAGGCATTCCATCTGCATTTTGATTCTTTATTGAGGATAGATATAGATGTCTATGGTTCACAGCAACCACTTACCTTCAGGTGGACTGTGTGCTCGTTTGCCACCCTATCCTATAAAAACATAAGTTACTGTACACGCAATTTGTTCACGAACAGAAGATATATTACATTAAGTGAACGAACGTGCCGAGGGAGCAGGGAGTTGTTGGAAACGCACTTAAATATTTCGCAACATGTTACGAAATGCCCGGAGACAAATCTGTGATCAATCGAATTCGTAGCGAGTTTGGTAAAGTGAAAACAGTGTAGTTGAAATTGGAGATAAAACTATGCAACCATAAATTTATTTAGATAATAACGTCATAAAGGAGAAGGAGACGTCTCCATAAATTCTTGGGCCCAAGTGTTAACAAGATGAAAGTAGGACCATTGGAAATCGTATATATAAACAATTCATAGCTGAAAATCTGGCAAGATTTGTCAATCAGGGGGCTGAGTTATTGTAGAATAAGTAAAAGTGAGATTATCTATTACCTACACTATAACAGGTGATTTTTCACTGTCATTACACTGTAACAGGCTATTTTTCACTATAATTACTTAAAGATATAAAACCAAAAAAAGCTGTGGTTAATAATGTAACAAAATGGTGAAACGATTTACGAAAGTTAAAACAACAACAACTAAGTATTTTTTATAGGAGCTGGGGCAAACGAGCATGCGGCTCACCTGATGGTAAGTGACTACCGCCGCCCATGAACAACTGCAACACCAGGGGAATCGCAGATGCGTTGCCGGCCTTTTAAAAAGGAGTACGCTCTTTTCTTGAAGGTCCCTAAGTCGTATCGGTCCGGAAAAATCGCTGATGGTAATCGATTCCACAAGGAGGTCGTGCGAGGAAGAAAACAACTTCTAAATCGCACAGTGGTGGACCACCAATCATCCAGATGGTGTGGATGGTATCGCGAGTTTTGTCGCGATGTGCGATGGTGAAATTGGGCGGCTGGAATTAGTCCGAACAATTCCTCAGAGCACTCCCCGTGATAGAAGCGATAAAATACGCAAAGAGATGCAACATCTCTACGCAGTGCCAATGAATCGAGCCGATCGGAAAGGACTCGGTCGTCAACGATTCGAGCAGCTCTGCGCTGGATGCGGTCAAGTGGAAGGAGCTGGCACTGGGGAGCCCCTGTCCAGAGATGGGAACAGTATTCCATGTGAGGCCGAACCTGCACCTTGTAAAGTTGCAGGCGGTGTGCCGGCATGAAATACTGTCCCGCTCTGCTGCGCACGCCAAGCTTTTTAGAGGCCAATTTGGCCTTCTCTTCTAAGTGACCACGAAACTGCACATCACTTGATATGTCGACTCCGAGGATTCCGATACTGGCCGAGGCAAGAAGGGGAGTGCCTTGAAACTGAGGAGATACGGCAAAGGGGTTCTTTTTAACGGTAAACGCGCAAACTTGTGTCTTGTGAGGATTAAACTGGACTAAATTTAGTCGCCCCAAATCCGAAACTTTGTTCAGCAAAGACTCGACTTCAGACACAAGTTTGTTCCGGTACTCAGCGACGTTTTCCCGAGAAATATTGGCACGGCCGATGTATAATGCATCACCAGTGCTGTCATCCGCATAGCAATAAATGTTACCAGTTAGCAACAATTGATATGCAGAAGAAACAGCGTTGGTGATAGCACACAGCCTTGTGGAACACCAGCGTTAATAGGCTTGTAGTCGGAGCATGCACCGTCTACAACGACCTTGATGCTCCGATCTGCAAGGAAGCTGGTGATCCAATTGCACAATTTCTCGGGAAGCCCATAGGAAGAAGCTCTTTGTGCCAAACCCGATCGAAGGCCTTCGAAATGTCCAAACTAACGGCCAACGCCTGCCCCTTGAACTCTACTGCCTCCACCCATCTATGGGTCAGGTAGACCATAAGATCACCAGCTGATCGACTCCGATAAAAACCGTATTGGCGGTCACTAATCAGCTGGTGACCCTCAAGGTACCGCATGAGCTGGCAGTTAATAATGGATCCCATTATTTTGGAGAACAAGGAGGTGATGGCGATAGGCCTATAGTTGGACGGGTCTGAGCGGACGCCTTTTTTAGGGATCGGGTGGACAAAAGCTGTCTTCCATGAATTCGGGACTACGCCTTGGGAGTAGGAGGACTGGAAAAGACGCGTTAGGACCGGTGCCAACTCCGAAGCACACGCCCTCAGCACAATTGGGGGGATTCCGTCAGGCCCACTCGACTTCTGGATGTCCAGGGAGAGGAGTACTTTGCTAACCGAGCGCTGTGAGAACAGCACATCCGACATGGAGCACTCACACCGCGGGATGGTCGGCGGTGTTTTCCCCCGTCATCAAGAGTCATAAAATACATAGTGTTGTTTACTCGTAACATTAGTTCTCGTACACATTTTTATAGAGATGAAGCTGAATCATACCAGTCCTGCTCGGAGTATACTATTGTTCTTCTTAACGTATAAACTACTTTACTTCTTCTGAAAGTATTCTTAAAAGTGTGTCTTCCTTGTATTCACATACAGTTATTATGGGTGATTTTTTATACCCGTTTCCTACAGCGAAATCCCCGTTCCTCCTCCATTCAATCCATTGCAGATTCCACTAATCTCTTTATTCTGCCTCTAAAGACAACTCATCATTTTCCTAATACTAGCTCGACACTTCGTAGGAATGCTCAACGCCATTATATCCATGAATCGGTACAAAATGATGATCCGGCTAAAGTCTGGAAATTTCTCAGAGCAATGGGGGTTGGAAAGTCACGTAGTAATGCATTACCTAAAAATTTAAATATTGATTTATTAAATCGACTTCGGCTGACTTCAATGGTGTTCTTAAAACAAATACATTAACACATCTTTCAACACTTTCAACTCCTAATCATTCACCTTTTGTCTTCAATCTATTCACTGCTTGTGATGTTAAGAAGAGCATTTTGTCCATTGCTTCTAACACTATTGGCAACGACTGTATCTACCGCAATATGATCATATAATATAATCATCCCAATCCTATGTCATATCCTTAATTCCTAAATTTCTTGTATTATTTTCTTTGAAATTGGAAAGATGCTCAAACTATATTCATATCTAAAAAAAATAAATCCTGCTTCCTTTTGTGATTATCGCCCTATATCCATATAACCGGTCCTTTTCAAAGTCCTTGAAAGATTTGTGTCTAATCAGCTTAACGCTTTACTTTGTAATAATCTCCTTTTAAATCCTTTACAATCTGATCTTCGTCGGAAGCATATCACTAGCACAGCTTTAGTCAATATTACGGAAGATATCATATATGGTATGGAGAATGGTACTTACTTTACTGGATTTTAGTAATGCATTTAATTCTGTCGATTACGACATTTTACTGGGCATATTAAGCTCCCTTAATATATCTCCGGTGGTTGAATGGTTTCAAAGTTACCTGTTTGGGTGCTGGCAACGCTTACGCATTGATGATACATTCTCATCACGGAGTTTCCATTGCTGGTGTCCCACAGGGTGGTGTTTTATCACCTTTGCTTTTTTCAATGTTTATTAACTCAATATCCACTATGATAAATTCTTCCTATCGCTTATATGCAGATGATTTTCAGGTATATACACAAGCTACTCCTAGTGACTTAGCTGTAGCTATTAACACCTTAAACAGTGTTCTAGCGATCATCGGAATGGAGCAGAAATTATGGTTTCAAAATTAACGCACTTAAGACACAAGTCAATTTTATAGGTTCTCCGCAATGCTTACAAAATGTAATTTACCACAAGCAACCAAAGTTGTATTTGATGATAATATAATTCCGACTAGTGACACTGTCAAAAACTTGGGTGTATACATAGACAAGTTGGTAAGCGCATCTTGGGGTCCTCGGTTACAGGAAGTTAGCCGTAAAGTTCTTGCAGCTGCTCATTCTTTGTGAAGACTACGAAACTTTTTATCAACTGCCACTAACATTGCGCTTGCGCAAACTCTTCTACTTCCAATCCTCGATCATGCAGATGTTAGATTTGCGTAAATATGATCATGTGTCAGATTTTCGTAACATACTCAAGTGGTTGCCAATTCGCCTTCGCTGGAATATTCATATTCCTATTCCTTCCCTATTTTATAATATTCTTTTTAATTCTTTCTATCCTTCTTACCTAAAAAATCAGTTTAAATTTCTCCATGACTCACATTTGAGACATTCGAGATCACCAGAAAATTTGATATTAAAATGCCAGCTCACACTACCAAATTTTTGGACAGATCATTCACAATACAAGCTGTCCGATTATGGAATAACTTGCCATTATCAGCAAGACGCGCTCAATTCCTACCGTTTTTTTAAGAAAAATGTACATGATTACTATTTTCAACTTTGTATAATAAAAAATAGAAAAGTAGTGAAAATTCCAACATTGCACTCTTATGGGGAAATTACGAAGATAAAATTGCTGTTTCATTTCCTACTGCACCTTCCAATTAAAAAGATATACAATCCACTACATCGACGTCCGATCTGTTTCTTTCAGTTTGTCCAACAGACAGGGGTTAATCGGTCACTGACGTTCTACCCCAAGAAACTGAAATCACACCACGTTGGGTTCGAAAACAACGAGGTGGACGTGACCCTCGAGAAGGAGTGTCACACAAGGACGTCTGTCGCCCTTTCTTAAAAGAAAGGTTAGACGACTAAGATTGCGGGTCCCTATAGAGAGGTCCCTTATTTATTATCCCTTACTTATTTTATATTCCCGACGTTTCGAGCACTTTCCAGCACCCATGGCCACGGGGGGACTGAGGTGTATGACGTCTCAACGTCATAGTTAACCACGGCTACCTCCAGATTAAAAATTATTAATTTTGTCCGATCTGAACGCAGTATGAACTTACAGTATCTTGAAGTCTTACAGTTGTATGCTTGGGTTTGAATTTAATTATATTAATTATGGGATCCCAAGCAGATGGTAGCACCCAGCCATCTTCTCTATTGAAATTAGGATGTTTATTGATTTCAACAGCCTCGCGAATCCTTCTTGGAAAGAATCGGTGTTCTTCAGCTAGGATTTGTGGTCTATCAAATCGAATTTAGTGACGGGGGCGATCCTGTACGTGTTCACAGACTGCAGGCTTCCCGGAGCGTCGATTCTTCAGATCAGCTATGTATTCTTTAACGCGGGTTTTTATGGATCTGTGGCGGGTGGAAGGAAAAGGGGAGATCTCCCGCCGGGCAAGGTGTTCTCCCCGTGGAGCGGCCAACGCTCCGAGTGGTAGTTCGGAGCTATTCCATATATGCTGCTTTAACTTGGGAACTTTTTTATTGCGATTTAGGCTTCGATGTGTTTCGCTTGTGGCGCGACGACAGTGCCGCCACAGATCTTTTAGTTTGTCCTATATAAGAGAAACCACATTCACAATCAAGCTTGTACACTCCTGCATCTTGCAGAGGGACATTACACTTGACTGATGGTAAAAACTGGCTAATCTTCTTCGGCGGCTTGAAGTATGTTTTAATGGAAGCACGCTTCAAGATGTAGCCAATCTTGTCAGTGACACCTCTGACATATGGCAGTACAGCAGGCACTCGCTCGACCGTGGCCGGCTTCACTCGTTCATTAATAATATTTTGATTTAAGTTTTTATATTTTAGTCTTTAATTTTTCATCGTTTTAAAAAAGAGCTATTTTCATGTTATTGGGATATCATTTTCATATTTTTAAAAGGTTAGATTTATCAGAGAGGGGCGTATATTTCTAGTCGCTTGTGAATATTTGTCTACTATTGATATTATAAAGAAATAAACATTTGCATTCAAATGTGTAAGTAAATGAAAGATCTTGATTAACAAAGTTTATAAAGGAAACCCGTAGTACGACGGAGACTTGTCAAAGGAAATAAGAATTTAATCAGCAGTGTCCGATCGCGCCGCACCGTTTTCAAGACACTTGTAAAACAAATTCAATCTTACAAATATCGTGGTGGTTCTACAACATCCAGTTACCTACAGGTAGACTCTGTGCTCGTTTGTCACCCTTATTCTATAAAATAACACTTTAATAGACACAGACAAGTTTTATTTCTTAATTACAGTCCATTAAGCTCACTGCTAAACATTGGCCTCTCCCATAGATTGCAGATATTTACCACGTATAACAAGCGGGTTGGCAACCGCAGTTTTTATTAATATTATTGAGTTCTTCCCATCTCCTGCTTCTGTTTACTTCTTTCGCTTTTTATCACACCCACGAGATGATATAAGGTTATCCCGTGTGTGTTACCCTCACGAACTATAATTTAAGTTTGTATGTAATTGAGTCTGTCAGTCAGCAACTGGTCGTCGCTGCAGGAGATAAGAGGCATAGTTCTTTTTTAGCTCATAAGCTAAGTATAACCATTCAGCGAGGAAACGCAGCCAGCATTCTTGGCACGATACCGCGAGGAATAAGGACTGTATTACAATTTCAATTTTTAGTTTTAGTTTTTCCTTATTATAGTTTTTTTTTAATATTGTGTGTAACCTTTTAGTTAGATTTAATTTTATTCTATATTTCACTTTAGTTATTTAGTTATTTGTGAAAAAATATAAACCCTTTAATCATAATTAGTCCTAATTGATAATTTCCTATGTTTCTAAATTCCTTGTTGAGTCAAATTAGTCCTTGACAGCACTTGATTAAGTTGTAATTAAACAAGCAATAGTACTTTGCAAACACTAATAAAACCATCATTAACGTTAAAGTAAATTATTTTCTTTTATTTATTACGTATTATATACGTCAAGTCTATTTATCCGAGTATTTTACCCGAATTCAGATAAAAAATTAATTACTATTCTTTTAGCAAATATTGAAATAAATTACTTTTGGTGTGCAAGTAATTGCTTGGTTATATATAAACGGAGAATCTAAGTATTATGTTAGATTCGCATTAATATTCGGATTTCATCGTACTCGTAATGCAAGTGCTCGGTACACTTGAACAAATCTCAAAGGAACACGGATCGTTGTCGTATTCCGAGCTAGCACGAGCGTATCACGAGGACGTGCGCATTATTCCATGTGGAAGTTGGTGCTGTTCCATTTCAAATCTTACCACACGTACTTATTGTATAAGTTATAATTAAAGTCCATGGTAGTTAAGGGGTTAAGTCCTCTAAATATTACAGTACGCGAGTTCACATTTCAAAGTGGAACATGGGAAATAAATTTATAATGTAGGCAATCATTTAGGTGACATTCTAGTAGTCGCCTTGAATTTGCTATATTCTTTAGATCTCTCAAGGGTAAAAAATTTAAACTTCTGAAAAAAGTAAAACGGACTACAAAAACATAATTGCTTATGAAGTCACGGCTTTCATTCTTCGATATACTATGTCTTAGCAACGACTTCAGAACTTATTGTGTGGATTTTTTTTTCTAGAAGTTGGTTTGTCTTATTTTTAAATTTAATGCGTTTATATATAGAGTTTTTTAGCGTTTATATATAGAGTTTATATATAGAGTTTTAGTATAGAGTCGATTGAAAACCTGTAAATTAATAGATGCCATCAAAAGCATAACTTGTAAAAAAAAACCAAGTCTCGCAACTCAGTTCTTCTACCGTAAAAAGTTGTGAGATCCATGTAATACCAAGTCGGTTAATTTATTCAGTCCTTACTTAGGGTCCTTCTGTCTCAAGTTATTACGTAATTAGCTAACCTAACAACAACTTATAGTGAACATATCAATATTAAAAATTCTTTATGTTTTAAATACATAGATTGACTTGGCCATCGCATGAAAACACCAATGTGTTATTTATCTCACAAGTAACACATGTTATATTAAATTAGCTTGTTATGTGCGATTTAAGTTAATTATTTGTAACAATTCAGCGACTAAGTAGAGTGTAAAGGTTATTTATACGACAACTACTACAATGAGTCACGCTGACTGTAAGCAACAATGTTCTTCTTGATTACTGTTATATTTCATGTCCACTTCTCCTGATACGGCGTTAAACTTTAGCACTTAAAAGAGATTTCTTGTTCTTGTTCTAAATTTTACTTAAGAAAACTTATTTCTCGTAGGTATTCACATTTATTTCTTACAGCGTGTTCCTTGATAAATAGGCTTCACCTTGGCTTGCATGATGACCATTTTTGAGAAGAGGATACTAAACACTGGGTATTTTTAAGAAACTTTTGCCTAATCTATCATCATCATCATTACAGCCATTCATAAGTCCACTGCTGAACATAAGCCTCCCCCAAGGAATGTCACAAAGCACGGTCCTGAGCCACCTGCATCCATCGACTTCCTGCATGCCTTACCAGGTCGTCCCTTCATCTCGTGGGGGGTCGCCCTACACTTCGCCTACCGGTACGAGGCTGCCACTCAAGAACCTTTCTTTCCCATCGGTTGTCGGTTCTTCGAGCTATATGACTGGCTCACTGCCACTTCAGCTTACTAATCCGTTGGGCTATGTCGGTTACTCTAGTTCTACTGCGGACATCCTCATTTCTAAGTTTATCACGCAGAGAAACTCCGAGCATAGCCCTCTCCATAGCTCGCTGAGCGACCTTGAGCTTCCTCATACGGCCAGCTGTGAAGGACCACGTCTCAGTTCCGTAAGTCATCACTGGCAACACGCACTGGTTGTACAATTTCGTTTAATCTATACATACATATAAATAAAATTAAAGTGTTAATTTAGCCTTACAGAAATTCCCTTGAACAGCTTTGACGAGAGACATTCTGGTTTTCTGTAAATGTTGGAATTTCTATAAGGCATCACTACCATCTCTACACAGGGAGGGCGACTAACTAGCTCACGCCGCAAAAAAGCCCTTTAAACCTTTCAAGCTCCCTTTTCGCGTCCAATTCGACTCTCGATGACGGGGGGAATACACCCCCGACCACATGTGCGATTCACACAGTGCTCAGTACGCAAAAACACTCATCTCCCTGGACATCCACAAGTCGAGTGGGCCTGACGGAATCCCGCCAGTGGTACTGGGAACGTACGTTTCACAGTTGGCACCGGTTTAAACGCGTCCTTTCCGGTACTATTACTCCCTAAACGTTGTCAATTTTGTTTTTGTAATTCATTGAAGACAGCTTTCGTGCACCAGATCCCCAAAAAAGGTAACCGCTCTGATCCGTCCTACTACAGGTTTATCACCATCACCTCCTTGTTCTCGAAAATAATGCGTCCATTATTAACTGCCAGCTAATTCAGTCCCTTGAGGGGTACCAGCTGATTAGTGACCGCCAGTATGGTTTCCGTTGGGGTCGCTCAGCTGGTGATCTTCTTGTTTACCTAACACATAAATGAGCGCAGGAAATCGAGTCTGGCACAAAGCGCTTCTTTCGAAGCTTCCTTTCTATGGGCTTCCCGAGAAATTGCGCAATTGGATCACCAGTTTTCTGGCTGTTCGGAGCATCAAGGTCGTAGTAGACGGTGCATGCTCCGATTACAGGCCTATTAACGCAGGTGTTCCACAAGGCTACGTACTATCACCAACGCTGTTTCTTCTGCATATCAATGATATGTTTCAAACCGCACTGGTGATGCTTTATACACCGGCCGTGCCATTATTTCTCGGGAAAACGTTGCCGAGTACCGGAACAAACTTGTGTCTGAAGTCGAGTCTTTGATAAACAAAGTTTCGGATTGGAGATGATTAAATCTAGTCCAGTTTAATCCTCAGAACATATAATTTTTTTAAAACGTTATCCCCACACTAGGATTTTCTCTTGTGTCGTGGAGGCAGTTAACAAACATAAATTGCACGAAGATAAACATCCAGACCCGGCACAATTATTTGTAGGCCATACAAATACTTGTTCCGTGCGGGATTCAAACCCGCGGCCCCCAGCGTAACAACTCATTGCTAAGCCATTGCGCCACAGAGCCATCGTTTTGCGCGTTTACCGCTAAAAAAAACCCTTTGTAGTATCTTCTCAGTTTCAAGGCACTCTCCTTGTTGCCTCAGCCAGTATTGCAATCCTCGGCGTCGGCACGCCGAGTGACGTGCAGTTTCGTGGTCATTTAGAAGATAAGGCGAAATTGGCCTCTAAAAAGCTTAGCGTACTCAGCAGAGCGGGACAGTATTTCATGCCGATACACTTACCTGCTCGAATCGTCAACGACCGAGTCCTTTTCGCCCAGCTCGATTCACTGGCGCTGCGAGGAGATGTTGCATCACTTTGCATTTTCTTTCGCACCTACCACGAGGAGTGCTCTGAGGAATTGTTCGGATAAATCCCAGCCGCCAAATTTCACCAACGAACATCGCGGCGAAATTCCCGATACCATCTACCCTATCTGGATGGCGGTCCACCACTGTACGTTTCACTAAGAGTTTTCTTCCGCATACGACCTCTGTAACATAGCTTACCACCGGCGATTTTTCCGGACTGATACGGCTTAAGGACCTTCAAGAAAAGTACTAATTATTGTCTAAAAGGCCGGAAACTCACCTGCAATTCTCATGGTGTCCAGTTGTTCATGGGCGACGCTAGTCATTTACCATCAAGTGAGCCGTAT